TTTCCAAAAGATCCCACCGCAATTTTCTAAACAAGCGTAGAAAAATTAGTGCCCACTCCGGTAACCACAGGCGCTTTACATAGTCGAAGACCTGAAGACACCACCCGTAAAACGATCCACTCACTAGAAGAGGGAAATTTCATTTGGTCCTCTGAAACATATATAACTCAACCGCAAACTGGACCGAGCCAGAGGACAAATGAATCTTGGGCGGCTCTTGAAGCCGCTGTACTAACGTTCCAGATTTATTTTCCCTGAATGCGGTGATCCTCATTCAGTGAATACCCTATGCAAAAATGGATATTTGGTCGTGAATGATGAAGACTCTTGTTGTGGACTCTTCAGCGGTGGACTTTAGTTGGAAAGTTTATAATTTGACGAGGACTGCCATATCCCCTGTGCAAGCTTTTTCATAATTTTGGAACGAGTGTGGTCAGCACAAACAATGGCCTGGGAAAACAACTGGTCGGACTCCCACGTTTTGGACTAATATGAAGCTCGAAGAAACGTTCTCATTTGAAACCTAACATTGGGCAATTTTTCGTGGGTAGCAGACTATTTTCCCCTGAATTAGGATATGTTTAGTTCACCACTCTTATGGCAATAAATTCAGCAGTTTGTTCACTTCTTCGAGACAAGGCTCTTCTAACGAGTACTCTTGACGAAGAATAATATTCGCTGTGCACAGAACGAAAGATCTCCTTTGGGAAACCTCCAGTATAAAAAATAAAAGTGATAGATTTGAGAGGTGGTCTCTTCTAAGAGGAACTTCATCGTTAAAGAACGCATCACTAGACCAAGCAAAATAATCTTTTCCAAAGAATTTCTTGTCTAGAGGGGAAGTCTGTAGTAATTATGCCACTTAAAAATCGCAGGCATATTTTGGGTCGCAGAGCCCCTCGGAAAACAGTTTCGTCTTGACCTGGTTCGTCAGATCGAAGAAAAACTGATGGATTAATTTTGCATCCTGGACTGAGCATTGTTGAAAAGCTACAACATTCCCAGTATGGTGTTCTATGACGGTATGCTTTGCTACGTTTCGTCAGTAGCAGAATAATCAAAACCTTAAGGGGAAGAAAAAGTATTGACTTGTATTTGCTGTAGTGCGGTCAACTTCAGGTGGCTGCCTGTTTGATCAATCTGTGATAGTCGAACGTGTTGTTGAAGCTCAGGTCAGCTTGTTATATTGTGGTTTGGAGTTTGCAAGACCTGAACACAAAAAGCATATGGACTGACCATGTTTGGACTAACGCATGTGGGTCGTGTGCGAAGGGTGAATGCTTCCGCACAGAAGCCTTTGTCTGACTTACCAAACCTTTGTGAACTGGTTGAACTTGGTCCAATCAGACATTGAGGTTTTTCATCAGGCATCCCTGATCACTCCAATTTATGACAACTCGAGGGATTTCGGAACTTTCAGTTGTTTATTCGCCTGTCTACGTGAGCAGCATTGTAATTCTTACAATAGATCTTTTATGAGCAGTGGAATTGCCAACCAGGGTTATTGTGCTTTGGGGGCGAACAAGGTGTCTGCTAATGTCACTGTCAATTTTGATGACTGTGTGCACATTGAGTTCTGAGGAAACAGCAGTTGGCGCGTGGCGAAGGATCTGAACAATGAATAGGATGGTTCCGGTTCCCGGGGTTCGCCTTCTGTGCGTTTTTAAGGAAGGGGACTGGAGAGTTATTCCGTGTGTAGTTTTCCTGATCTTTTCAACCTCGGTGGCTTTTGGTCGTCCTTTGAGATTCCGGCTATTTCGCTCCTGACAAAGTTTACCGGTTGTGATCGAAGCGTTGAGTCACAAAAAGCACTGTCTTCACCGTTGTGTTTTTCCGCTACTCATCAACCCAAGTACTTGTCACACGCAAGGCAAAATCTATCCGACCTCGTTCGCAATTTTGCGCCATGGGAGTTTGAGCCAAAGGATGAACTGTAGCAAACATGATCTGTTTACTTCATCTAGCTGGATATACTCTTGGACATACTATACAAAGGGAACCCGGGGCTGAAACATGGTGTCAAAAGAGTCGGATTTTTGTTAGAAACACATGAAAATGGTGGGCTGCTAGTTGGCTGGTGCGAACAGGTTCCCTTTGAGTAAAAAGGTCAAGGTTGCGTAAGCCGATTTTGACTGCTTCAACTACAGATAATAGCAGGATTCTTGCAGATCGCGACAGATCAATAAGTTGGTGAGTGGTGTACGCCTAGGTACAGACTAATGATGCCTGAGTTGAGTGAGTAGTCTCCACGAGTCACGAAAAGGACGCTGTGTTAATGGATCCTGTCGGTTGAACGCAAGTCCCTGAAATTGTAAATTTCAGTCCAAATGTCCCTGGATGGAAACGGACCGAGAGGACATTCCGTTTTGGTGTCGAACGATTTCCATCATAACTGTATTAAAACGGTTAACACCTTACCGAATAGCTTATAGAATATAAGTTTAATGCAATCAAGGTTGACGCAATGCAGCGTCGCAGATTGCAGCGAAACAAAATGTTTCGTTACGTTCCGGTATGGTGTCTCATTTTGTTCCTCTGGTGATCTACTACCCTAGCATGTTTTCATTTTAGCGAGCCACCCAGATTTATTATCGATCTGGAGATCTATTCATTGTATGCGTTATTTTAAATACAAATCGAAATTTTCCAATGGGATTTGAGTAAAAGAACAACAGCTCGCACTTTATAATCTTATAACCTGAGTGGCTAGACTTGTAAAACACAAGTTCACATTGAAGGGTTTATTGCAGGTACGTGTTGGTCTGCACCGAAGTCTCAAAAAATTGAAAAGTACAGACCAAGAACAGTATTTCAATGTGAAAGTATTTCAAAGTGAAAGTATCAACATTGCGATAAACATGTATTCCATACCAGAGCGCTAAGCCAGACAGATGTTTTCCAAGTCTAGGGTGGCTTGTACACTTGGCATCTGGGCGACCAATCACAGATAGCCTAACAGCCGTTCAACACGAAAAAAGAAATGAGTTTTTCAATTCTTTTTGTACCCTAACCGGAGGCAGTCGGCCGTGGAGGTCATCGAGACAGCTTTCTTCCGAGCATGTACCCTGCGCTCAAAAAAAACTAAAAGGCTTCTACGGAAAAGCCGTGGGTGGATTTTTGAATCCATATAGACAGTTCGAAATAAGCTGTAATTTACATCCATTACCTTAGTTTGCAAGGCTCGCTTCGTGCAAGTGGAAGAAGTGAATTCACCCCGCAACTTCATCTTTTTGAACGTACTGTCCAGATGGAAACATGAAAGGAAAATTTAAAAAAATTTACCGCACTTCGACTGATCGCAAGTGAACTTGAAGCTGCTCTATTCCGGTAATGAGGCGGTACCCATAGTAGCCGAATTTCTCGATCGGATACCGCATCAAATAGCGTGTTTCAAGGCAGTGTGTTCGAAAACGTAAGTTGTTGCCCATAAGCACGCTTAGGTCATCACCGTCGCATTGAAGTAGGCTAAACAACCCTGAAAGGATAGCAGCAGTAGCCATCTGACATTTAAGGGAACGGGACAACACAACATCTGACAGATTAAGCCTGCCGTGCACCTTAACATGTAAAGTATTGCATGTGTATTCTTCAGAAACCCTAAGTCGTAGTTGTGAAGTAAGATACCGTAGAGTTTAAGTGAGGTTCCGGACTGGTAACTGAGTTGTTCTCAAGGATGAATAAAACTTGCGACGGTTTAATACACCCTGCCGATGCACTAGACAGAGTAAGATGAGAACATCCACATTTCGGGGCCTTATCAAATATGTCGGGGAAAATTCGCAAGTCAATTTCCGTTAACAATCAAAATGTGGGTTTCCCAGACGTGTTCTCTCCATCCCACTTGGTAGAGGAAATGAATGAACTGCACCATTTGCACAAAGCTTCTAACGTTTATATCTTTAATTCATAACTGGCATGCATGCTAAAAGCATAAAACCCTAGTGAAAATTGAAGATAGTTTACTGGCGAAGAAAACAATGTTCAGATGAGCTAGCAAAGTACTTGAGGGCAACTAATTGAGTGAAGGGATTTTATCAGACTTTGAAAACTTCGACTCCTCAACAACAAAGTGAATGGGTTTTCTTTGTTATTCCGGGTAAAGTGGAATTTCAATGCAGTTGCATAATTTGCTTAAACTGTATGCATTTCGCGATAAAAACATGATCCCAGAGGACTGTTTAGAGGTTACCGGTGTAGATTACAGCCAAAGATTCTGAATTTCCAAGCAAGGAATTTGCATCGAACTTGATGTTTGAAGTCACCTGGTCGAATTCACTGAAGCATCTCATTTCACTCGCTGGACTCGAAACGGGGCTGTGCTGACCTAATACTGCCAAACTTATTGTAACTTCATTTTATCAACATCATCGAGACAACCTTTACATAAATATTGCAACCGTTTTTAGTGCATGAATTCCCAAGTTGAGAAAGAATGAGACAATCCGTGTTTGAACGCCTTATTCAACTTTATTGGGTTTGTACATATATCTGCTCGATGAAATTTCACTGAGAACATCAACGGCATACTGTGGACTAAAGCGCTAAGTGATAGTTAGCACTTTCGTTTTAATCGTTTGGTCGGTTGGTATGATATCTTTAGTTGAAACAATTTCCTCTAATACACAATGACTTTAGATAGCCCCAACTCATAGTTGCAGGATGAGATGCGTACAGAATACTGCACCAATAAACTTACTACTCAGTTCAAGAACTGTCAGCAATTTCGACTAATGAACAATCAAGAAAACAAATCATATTTTGTCTGACTTTACAAATTGGTGTTGATTTTTATGGTCAGTCGTTTTGTACTTTTGAGGTCATAAGAACAGACGGTATAGTTTTTCGCGGTTAAGTGTCCCGATTGGATACATATAATGGTGTGCAGTTGCCTGTGGCAGACAAATGTCAATTTTTTCAGCATTTCTGTCAAACTGATTGACCTGAAAGTTTATTACATCGATTCACACTGCCTTTTACTTTGGCCAGACAATCAGTCTCACCTGTATTGTGCCTGGATTCCTTTTCTAGACCCAACAGTCTCTCCTCCATCTCCGCTTTAGCCGTTTTCACTTGCGTAAGCTCTCTTTGAATTAGACCAGTTTTTGTCCTCAAGTTGCTTTCTTCAGTTTGTGACTCTTCCAACAACTGCTGCAGCTCATTGCGTTCTGTTTCCAGCGATTTGATCTCTTGCGTTTGTTCTGACAATTGGGTGTATACCTGAATTGTGGATTGAATGGATGTGGGGTAGTGAATCAGTGGGATTATGATCGAGTGTTTGACCACCTACAACGTGTGATCCAGTCAATGAGTCAGCTACTTCCCGCGCAGCCGGGCTCAACAGATTACGGTTTGGTTCTCCTAGGTCCATCAATTAGCCCAAGTTGGTGAATCATGACTAAATCTATGAACCTAATCAATTTGACATGATGGATATTCACTCCTCGTAGTCTGACTCTTGCGTGTGTTTTACCTAGGAAACAATTGCTTGTGTGGATTGAACAGCCTTACAGATTAGATCATGCGATGTTTTTCAGAAATGTGCCTGATCCTAAAGTGTGAGAGGAATAGATGTTGGATTTAGCAAGGAAGTCATTAATCGTGTAACGGTTAAAAGTATTCGAGCAAGAATTTGCATGACGCGGATTAGTGTAAGAAACCGAAATGCCAACCATATGCAGAGTTCCTCACATCGCGAATGGAGGATCAACCTCAGTTAATGTACCAGAAAAGACGAACGTTCCTGGAGGGGACTCAAATCCGCGATCACCTGCATACTGGAGGAGTGCTCCAACAACTGATCTGCTGAGGACGACGGTTTGTCTTTTACCTATGTAAATGGGGCCCACACTGATTCGTCACATTTTTCTTCGCTGGATTCAACAGCTGAGAATGTCATTCCCATTAGCGAGCCTTTCGTGTGCTACGGGGCACCAACCACTGTAGGTCAGTGGACCCCGGTCAGGTAACACCCAATCGAATGGTGTCCGTTTTTTGTTTTCATTATGCATACGCCAGTTCGCAATCAGCCTTATACAAATCATCATGTCTTCATCTTTGCGATTTTCTAAGGCATCCATGTAAAGAGGAACAACGAAGTTGAATTTAATGCACGTGATGCAAGATGGAGCATTGTGCGCGAGTAATCTGACCTGATCAGTTTTCTCATCGCCTTTGGTAATGATTTGGAAAATATGTAAAGAGTATACCGAATTTCGGAGACAAATACTGTAATGCGGATGGTGTAAGAAACCTACCCCATCTAATTGGCTTTGTAGTTCCTGTATTTGTCCTGCCAGCTGATTCTTCGTTCGCTCCAGGCTCACGACGCGGCTGTGCTCCATCTCATGAGACTCAGTGAGTTCTGTTATCTTTGTATTAAGTCGGCGCCTGAAAATGATCACAAACAAATCCAATAGTAATATATATATATATATATATATATATATGACCAACATGACTGCAGTAAGAAAGAGGATAACTGATTCGTTCGCAAATTAAGATGGCCGTATTTGTCTACTTCGAATCTGTTCGATTTATGAAAGTGGCCACCTTATTCATACTCACTCCTCTATGCACAGGACTACCGAGGTGGGGATCAAAATACTTCCCCTATCAATCGCTTGCTCAGAGCACTGAATCAGTCAGCAAAATCCAAAACTCGTATATTTTAAATGATAGTTGGCACTGCTTATTCTATATAAACACGACCTTTCCAAGTAGTATCCTGCACTTGCTCTTTGCATGCCCTCTATTACCACTTGTTGTTGCTTACCACTTTTGTCAAACTAGGAACACCCGTTGTAAGCATGAATTATTGTGCGCAGTTCCTTTCAGTGACTATTCCAAATGCTTCTGCTACTAGCTCAATCCTGAATCCCGTCACGTTAGACATAACTTCATCTTTACTTATCCGAACTGTTATTTTCAATAGAAACGTCTGCTCGATTGTTCGCCGTTAACGCAATGACTATGTCCTCCTAAATGCTTTGTTCTCTTTGGTGAAGAGCGCGTAAATTGAAAATGTTTTCTAGGAACTTCGCGAATCTGAAGGTTACAGATTCGGAATAATAAATTGGTAAAAAATCATTTGAATGCAGTGGTGTTGCTACAACTATGATTTTTAGCAGAAGTCAAATGAGTGATTTGAAAGTGGAACTTGAGTCTCTAGTGTTCGGGGGTAATCAAACAATGCAATCCAGAATACTTCCGATCAGTATGTGTGCACTGATAGTTCAGCCAGTATTTGCTTCCCCACTTTAAGCGAATTCGTTCAAAGCTCAATGGTACTTGAACCAAGAAGATCTAATTGGGTTTGACATTCACTGTTTAATCCAATAAATACCCCAATTAATGGATTCACTTCTACTTTCGAGGTATTTTCCTCACTCACTGGCAGGTGTAACTGTCATCTGAATGGGTTTCCGAATGAATGCATCAGTTATTAAGGCTGGTGGTAGAGTTAAGCTAATGGCTTCTCATGTGTCGACTGGTATGTAGATGGTGATATTGTAAATATGCGCTCTTCAGTTTTACCTAATTGTGTGTTAGCTAGATGTCTGCTCGGACTACTGGAGAAATTGACCTGTCTATTTACGTCGAAAACTTGAGCCCGATTGCGAGCAAAGTTGACTGACTGATGCAGAGCGGTTGCTACTGGCGTTATTTGCTCTCGAAAATTGAAAAAGTTTGAATGTATCTGGTCAGCCTGAAAAGCACTAGTGATTAGGTGATTCTCGTAGATGATCGAGTGTGTAAACCACTGACACTAACGGCTTCCGATTGGATACCAGTGAAAATCTACTACAAGTGTGGATTTTTAGAATGTGCAGTGCTGCTATCTTCGATGCACTCGTAACGCGTCTGTGGATGTTAGAGGAAAGAATTCGCATTGCGTCAGTTCAAAAGCTGCCCGAAAAATGTCACGAATCTACGCACATATGTGACGTCAGCCAATCGTGATACGGTGAATATCATGTTATATTTTCAGATTGTGTGTAAGGGTGAAGTTAAAGATACCTTTATATCGCTGTACAATTACTACTCGGAACGATCAATGGTGCAGCCTAAATTCTAAAAATTAGACGAATTAGTGGTAAGGATACCAGCGAGTGGCAGCAGGTCTGGGATTTAGACCACAACTTATCATCCTGTTGTTTCAAGCGCGCTTTCCGGAGTTCTAATCCTAATACCCTGAAACACTGTAGGAAGACGAAGGCAAGAAAATCGAACAGATCACCAAAAATATCCCCCTCAGGCATATCCAGAAGTCACGCAATACATAGACAGTCGACAAATGACCTCAAGGAAATTAAGTGATAATAGAAGCACCTGAAACAACATCGGCTGGCAGTTGAGGGGAAACGACGTATTTTTTCGGGGTTACACACTCAGCTAGAGGTCGTCTAGAAGCCAAAATACAGAAACGATTTTCGGGACCTACAACTCTAATTCACTGTCCTATGTAGGCGTGTGCTCAATCCCTGTGTATGGCTTTTGGGAAGGAAATGACTCCCAGTGTTTTTTGCAGAAACGATGTAGCCAGCAACAACATAAACCCAGCACAACCATAATACTTTTGCTTCCTTCAGTACCAAGTAGATCCCATAGGCGCGACCAAATCTGGTTCTTGGAAGAAGATCCTGGTTTCTTTGCCACCCTGTTCATTAACTATGATGGGCTTTGTTCACATCTGATCGAGAAACAAAGGGTCTCCATAAGGTCCGTTTTCGTTTTCAATAGCAAAAGAGTTTGAGAGAAGATTGTCATCCTGTGATAAATATCCTAAGAGATTTCTCGGGACATTTTGGTGTTTAAAACTGCTCCTTCCCACCTGTGGCGTTACGTATAAAAGGTACATCCTCAAAAATCAAAGTTCTGTCTTTTATGGTCAGACAATTTCTTTTAAGTGAAATATGCTATCTTTGGAGAGAAATATGTGTATATGCATACTGCACCGGTCACATCAGTTACTGATCCTCGTCAGAGTCTCACAATTTGCGGATACTTTATCAATCTGGAGCCGGTAGAATAAATGACGGCCAATATGCGGTTATGACTCAAGTATTTGGAATGGCCCCTGGATGGGACGAACATATAGACGGACCATTTTGATCTGATGCTTAGTCAAACGTTTCGAGGATATTTCTTCGTATCGTTTAGGGTTATATGTAACTTAAGAGTAAAACGGTTATGTTAGGCTCTTGTTTGTCACAGAGTCAGCTTACTTGTAGGTGACAATACTTGAACTGCTACCCCTGTATCCAGGTTGGTAGCAAACACAACTAACAAAAAAGATAACTCTGCTGCTCGTTACTGTCTCCGGTCCATCTGCAGTATATCTGAAATCACAAACGAGGGAGATAAGATCATTATTCTCTCTTTATGTGGCATGCTATTTTCTGGGATAGGAACTACTGAATTTATACCAGAAAAAAGAGTACGCGATGTAGTGCCTGGGTATTCACTATCAACCAATGTGGCTAATATTCTGGGAGCATTTTTAGGTTGTTGCGAAGCCCAAACTAGGCATTGTGTAGGTGAATCGGGAGACGCTGATGGCGATAACCACTAACCGCTTCCAAGGGTGCTTCTTCATTATTTATAGATAGATATTTGGGGCCTTAGGGGTGTCTTGTGACAAGCAACCACTGACTCCTTTTGTTGTGAAGTTCACCTCGTTTCTAGTGCGTGTTTATTACAATTCAGTTTTCATGACTCTACAGTCGGTTGACACCAATGTCGACGCATATCGTTGGTTATCAAAAGGGATTCTGAGGGATGAGTAAATCACCGTCGAAAGTGATGGTCCGATATTTACTGGAAATTCTTATTATTGCTCCAAATAGGACACACGTTTTTTTTGTCATCTATCTAGTCTGTAGCTAACTAATTGTTAGATCACACACCATTGATCAGAATAACTGATTGCTTACATCATCTGTCAAGGTCTAGCCATTATATCGTGAAATATTTTTATTTGAACCTCACTCAATGGGTCGATTTCAGTCCTTGCACACGCACCTGGTTGGTACATGATTTGTTTGCTGAGTTGCTTGATTCATTTTTCAGGTTTAAGTGAAAAGGATCCTCAGCGCGTGAGCACAAAGTGATATTTTTCACATCTGATTAATCGCGACATCTGAAATTAATATTGACAGCAGGCCATCCGTTTCTCATGGACTTGCGATGATGAACTTAACTATGAGAAGGTAGATGGAGAACATCCAAGTGGTCATCTTAGCCGTACTTATGTGAGGATTGTCTATCAGCTTGCTTAGGAATATGCAGGTCAATCAAAATAATGTGTTTTCTGAAGCTTAAGTCATTAAATAAGCTAGTGAAGTTCACGTGAATGGTGCCGCAACTATCTGAAAGGGATTTAGGGTCAATTTTCAACAAAGAAACGCATAAGTGAATGATATGATTTTCAAAGAAATTGGCGGTGTGTAATATAGTGACTTTATTTCCCTAAAACTGTCTCCTTATTCAATCGGTTTGCTCCGTTTTTTCATTTCTCAAACTAGAGGTCACCACTTTCTCCCAATCCATCAGATGTTATTCTGACATTTTACTTTTAAACACCAGTTGACTTCATTGTTTTCGCTCCTGAGGAGTTGACTGAAACGTTCACCACTGAGACTCGGCTGACATGGGTCTGTATCATTTGATACATTATCGGAATGAGCATTGGAGTGAAGTCGTACAATGATTCGTGCCTAGTGGACAGCACACCAAAGTTGGTATGCTCCGCGACAGATGTTAATGGTTCAACAATCGTTTCCCCTATTCAAGCGACTACATGATCCTGTATTTTGCGTACGACGATGTAAACACGACTGGGTATCTGTGAGATGTCGAACGGTGGCGTTAACAGTGTTTCAGTTCCCAAAGGACTACAACATTCCAGAAACCACACGAAAATGCTATTTTTAGCGACACTTTTAATATTCAAAGCCATCGGTTTAATTTCATATTTTGACCTTCTAATCAGAAAGACTTAAAGGTGGAGATGACTCCAGGAATTACCTTTATGTGGAACCCGTACATTTTGAGTTAAACCAAGGATATATTAATATTTCACGCATATAGACATCTACTTGTCCGCAGTCATAGGGGTTGGATTATTGCTGTTTCACTCAAACTTACCATTGTAATTCTTGGTGCGAAATTTTTTATCGACAGTTGAGTGAGTGAATGCATATAACTGTTCCACATTCTCTGTCTGGTAAGTTAATAATAAGTGGGCAGCCGTTTTATGCTTTCACGTTTTAACAAGTACATAGAAACTGTACTGAGAAAGTTTTAGTTCCGAATGTCATATCCTGACTTTTCTCTGAGGCAAACAGGACTTTCTACGTGTTGAGGAACAAATGCACTTAGTTGTACAAGATGAAAGTTTTTGGTAAGTCATAAAAGTTTTTTTCTGAAAAGTACCTGAAAATATGAATGAACATAATGAATCGTCCCTTTCTTGAAACAAAATTCACCCAGAATATCACGAAAGTTAATTATTATTTTGCTCGAATACTTGTAACTTGCTTGATTTTTGTTTTACAGGTTCAGCTCCCCATTTGTGTGAGTATTATGAAAGGGTTGTCTTGCTAACCAGATAATCTGAAACTCATGTTGACCAAATCAAATTTTCAGACGGGTTTAGAACCACCGGAGGGTCATTAGGAATGTATCGTTTGAAAATCATACAGAACTAATCTTACCTAGTCTCATCCAATTCTTCCGTTTTCTCGTTCAATTCACGTTCGTATTTGGAGCGCAATTGTGCCAGTTCAGACTGGAGTCGCGAAACTTGAGCATGGAGTTTCGTCGCACTTTCCGATTCCTCATCCGCTCGCTGATTCGCCATTTCCAGTTCCTGTTGTATGGAGCTTAGTTTGTTTTGGGCGATTGTCCGCAACTACAACCAAAAATAAGAAGAAAGTAAATGAGGTTAAATTAAATCGAGTTCCCAAGTGTGAATCACTGTCCTCGAGATGAACAGTTGTTAATTTGGGAGATCTTGCTGGCAAACGGTCTATTGCTAACAGAAAGATTGACAAGCAGTCATTCGAAGGTCCGTGATTTGTGATTCAAATATGTTATTCCAAACACTTCGGAGCAGATGAAGTTGAAGTGCTCTGCGAGTCTGTGTAATTGTTCTTTCGTAGACTCACTTGATCGTGATCAATTTTAACAGTTCAATCTGGAAAACGCAAGCATTTTAGCATTCGGAATCACGAGACACGGAAACGAATTTCTAGAAGCATGGTACTCCACGGCGGATTCAGTCAACCGGTGCATTGAACTGTATCAATTTTACGCACAACTACGTGCAAAGGTTCAACATCCCAATCGGAATACTCAAGAAGAGCCGAATATCGGATTCACAAATCACGAAAGAAGGAATTCCTTGCAGTCGGATCAACAAGGGTCACAAGCCAGAACCCAGAGGAGCCAGAACAGTTGTAATCTTAGCATTCAACAGAGAACGAGAGCAAGAGAGGCCAAACCCAAAGGTCACGTGTTCATCAATCACTTAGGTCACAGGATAACACAGCAACCAATGGAACGACCAGGCCGAACAGCTAATCGTTACCATATATGTTCGATGACGTTTTAGCCTAACAGATGTGAGTACTTTGCAGAACTGGCTTGAAACAGGTACATTACACTTTATGCGGTCAATCTTTTTCGCAGTTCAGCTGCCGCTTATCAAATTATCCTTTTATCCCCAGTTTAGGGTGCGTGTAAAGTTGAACTGAACGATTTGTTTGACCAAACACAATCAGATGAACTTGAAATACGCCGCAACTCCGAGAAGAACAAATAGTAGTGAACGATGCAACAAGTTACCAAAAAGGCGTATACCGTATATCCGGTCTCTAAGGGAAAGAGTAAATCGACTCAAACTGAATTACCCGACAGGCTTTTGTGCGTGTTTTGGGAGCACACTGGTTACAGTTAAGTAGTGCCTATCAGTCACATGATACGTAATTTCTTTTCTTCAAATGAGTCCTTTTCGACTGCGAAATAGAAGAGAAAAAAACAAAGAGAATCTATCCAAAGTTATTTGGTAGTAGCTCCTTTATCTATGAGTTTTAAACGATCATATCTTGTAAGTCCAAGTCCCTGACTTACTCCCCTCAGTAGTCTTATATTCTGTTCTGTATGTGTTCTATACTGCATATATTCTCTCCCTTCTCCAAGCACGACTCATTCTTCGACCTTTAGTCCAGAAAGAAACTCTTTCGTTTCTATTGACAAACACCAACAAAGTAACTCTAGTGCCTATTGTTGAAGAGACAATAATTATGCCTGAGCCGACCACCTTCTTGGCAAGCGTCTAAAATTTCTTCGCTCCAGAGTTTATGTCCGTCTCTTTGCCTTGACATTTTTTTCTGCTACTCAACTGCTTTTCAATAAATACAACCCACGAATCTGTTTAGGACTGTGGTGTGACCAGCTTCATAGAGTCTCTACACATTGATGGATTTCCCCTTCTTCAGGTCCCATTACTGTAGTCTCCTGTTCCGTTAGTTCAAACACTCGTAACTGCTCAGTTTCAATAACCTTCCGGTGCCTAGCTGCCATGCCACCCAAGGGTGGGAGATTCTGCCAAGTCGCCCAAGCCTAGAGGGGAGCGGTCGAGATTTCAGGGTTAGGTTTCAACGACGGACCTTCCGGTTAGTAGGGTTGCGTTTTAACCACTGAGGCATCGCAAGCTCCATTCAAACGTGAACTCAAACGTTCACCACAATTTGAATGGCTTGTAGGACGGGACGCACGAGTGATGACTTGTGTTTGAGGCTTTGACCAAGGACAATTGAACTTGAAGGAAGCATCTTCGAGCAAATTTACATAGAAAAAAGAAGCGTGAAGTCTCCGAGCGATTTGCCTCAATGTTATCAAATTTCTTGAACCAGTATACCTTTTATCAGACTCAAACGAACGCAGTATTGCTGGAATTTGGTATCTTCTGGGTCACACAACGGAAAGTGAGGAAATGTGGCAGTAAAATCCCAGAAGAAATTTTGAATCACTTGATTTCCTATGCACAGCAGCCCACAAAAATCAGGTGGCCTTATTTACGCCAGATGCTCGATTTGCCATACACTGGAGTGGCAAGAAAACCAAAGCATACATTAGGCTGGTGTAGGACGCCCCGGGCAGTGTTTTGCCAATTCATACGAAGTGAAACACATGTTCTATCGTAATATTGATAGTTTTCTTGTCATTGCATTTCATGTTCCACTTCGGTTGACATGTACAAAAATCAAACTATTTTAACGTCATTTTCAATCTTACACAAGTTGATTTCTTCCATCTGTCAGGCGAAAGTATGAAATTCATACCTTAGTCTCTTCGTCCAGGTTTCTCTTTTGCTCATCTAGCAGAGCGTCGCTGTTGAGTTGAGCGCGTTGAGCATTAGCTAGAGCAACATTGAGTTTGTCCACGGTTCTCACATATTCCGCAGTTTCTGCGACCATTTGAGCATTTTGTGTGTTAAGTTCTGTCACACGTTTCTGTGCATCTTCATAGTTGGCTCTTAGACGAACAACCTGAGATTCCAGCACTTCCAGTTTGCCCTGTGCAGATGCCTTCAAAAGCAAAAGTTGTAAGAAGGAAAATAAATACGCCTTTTGAAGGAAAAAGGCACTCAGGGTTACAATGCTCACATCACAATCAACTCTAACTGGGGAGATTTTGAAGCATATGGATAATACTCGTGATATATTGTTCTCAACCAATGGAACGGCAACCCTCAGATAGCGACTAGGTTCACAGCAATGGAACCGCAGGCCTAATGCCAAGGATTGACTCAATTATTGAGAAGGTTCCCATCGGAAGAACATCTACATCCCTCTAAAAGCACAATATGTCTCGAATAATTGTAAAATACCCCCACCCCGTAGTGAACATTTTTTAAGAACGTTAATAAATCCCTGGGATACTCTTTGTCAAAATCAGAACTTCATAAGTGTTCCCTATAAGATAACCGAGCAGGCTTCATTAACCCTTAGGAATGTTTAGCGCGAAATATGTTAAATTTGAAATACAGCAACATCATATTCCGTTTCTCCTGCAATTGTGGAGCAATTCTACTTACAGGCCTTTGGTCGGTCCTTTTTGTATGCTACGTGCTAAACGGAATCCTGAACTTGATATTATGGCCAATTTACAAGTGGGAAATCCCAGATTCTTCTTTTTAGTGTTAATTTCAGATTAACATCGTGCCTTCTATTCTTTAAAAAGCGTGCATCTACTATGTAGGCCTAGAAGATACTTGTCGTAATTACTTGTGCACTACTAAGGAATGTTTATTACTATCATTGTTATTATCGTTAATACCTATGGCTTTTATTCCGCATTGTCGTGACGAAAATTCAGAAACTTATTTGTTAGCCACATATACACATTAGTCGCGCATTTAACGGACGAATTCCGAGGCCGTTCCAGAGGGAATCTCAGGGGTGAAATATGGCATATCACAAAAACTTTGCGTTTAAGTGTGGGATTCACATTCAGTCAAATCCTGTCTACTTGCACATTTGCTGGGTTCAGTGAGTGTGGGAGAATGGATATGTTTGACGTGAACAGCTGGTTAGCCCACAATGGAGAATAACGCCATATTCAGGTTTTAAAAGGTCAAGTTGTTCAGAAAGTTGAGTGGACTACAGTGGTTGAAATAAAAGTCCATCGTGAGGCTACTGTCTACTAATCGATCTCAGGTGAAGGAATCGTTTTCCGGCTAACGCAAAAACTTCAGGCAAGATTCGGACAGCGACTATATCTTTGGGGTGTGTGAATTGTGTCACATTCTCATCTCAATTCTCAAGACTAGCTCGATTAAAACAATGGAAATTGAAATCTTCAGAGACGCATGACGAATAATCCAGGTGTTTTCGCACGTCAACACGCAAAATGCCATGGCTGCCAACGGTATTGCCTCGAAACATTAATCCTTCATATGCTGTCTATGGAATGCAGTGATTGCCAAGTATTTAAAATATGGGTTACATAACCTTTTGCTCCCTCTGTTGAGCCCATCGCACGCGGTATTGAGGAGCTCTAGCTAGGTTGCACATCTACCATTGGTTTCGCAGACTTTAGAGAATGAGCTGTATGCACAAGTCTTTTCGTCTAATTGAACTTAACATTACGGTGATTCTGATATCCATTTGCTCACTCCAATCATGCACATGTTTTGCGGCTTCGTACCCTTCTCGTGACGGCTACCCTGTCCGACACTGCCGCACTGCCATACGTGTATCCAGTGCCATTGACCTACTTGCTTATGCGTATTCGTGCCCCGCCTACTGGGCCTGCTCTGACTCGTTCCTTGTGGTGGCACTGCTAAGCCGAATCACATACCGGCCTCGGGAGGGACGGCCTTTGTCCGGTTTGCGGACCTTGACGCTAGGCCGCACCGATCAGTGACAAGCTTGTGCACGCGTTTACGCCGCGATTGTGGGCAGTTGGGCTTTGTTGTTTGGTTTTGCTTGCTGTTAGAGGTGTAGTAAACGTTTGAACTCGGTTCTTCCTTTTGATATTCGGGATCGTCAAACCTATGCGTGACCTCAACATTCCCGTTTATCCATGTTCACGACAGTGGTAAACAACGTCTATCACCTCGCCCTACTTGGGTGATATCGTGCAGTGCATCGCTCTCCTTATAAAATTCTCGTAAAGTGCTCATACCATGGTAATACTTGTGCGATACTAACGTCCTATTTGTAAAACGTCTGGTAATGTGATGGCATTTTTACATTAAATCAACAGCGCGGCATACAGCAATGGTGGCTACAATTGACGGTATTAGGTAGAGGAAGTGAGGTACGGAAGATATTCAGATGAATGAAGGATGACAAAAGGTGAAGATGTAGAAGTCTATAGTCTGCTACTTAAAGAAAGATGATTGTAATAAAGTATCACAGATTATCAACATCTCGTCCTGAGTGCCATGGACCTGATTAAAAATTTCTCAACCAAAGATTACTTGACATTTTCTCAACACATTCATCACTCCAAGGACGCAACAGATACCTGAAGCATCCCATAATTTTGGAAAAAAAAGTATATACCGCCTGAATTATTTAAACCCAACGAAGAACAACTGTTCCACGTTTGTCCCTAAACTCGTTGCAAGCAACATGTGTGGTCCGTGAAACTTCTGATGGACGGCGGACATCTACTTTGAAAATTCGCGTGACCCACCACCCTGTGAGCAGTACCTTCTGTTTGTTTGCCTCCTCGGATTCAGTGAATGCAACCTCCAGCTGGCGTGTTAATTCTGCACGCTCCTTTTCGGACCTGAAAATAATAAGCAACAGCGGCGTGCATGTATGAATCGATAGTGCGCCCGATAATCTCGTGGATAGAATGAAACGAAATAGTATATTACATTAAAGAGGGGGACAGTCCTGGTCTACTGTCACACAGCTCAACAATTTTGATTGACACCTGTGTGCTTTGGTGAAATGTTTGAAGAATAAATGTGAAAAAAATGCATTTTCGAACAAAATTCGTTTACCTATTGTGTGCTTAGAGAACAAAGAGGGCGCCTGGGAGTTCTTTGAAAAACCTTGACACACGCTGCCTGTGATGGTTCAATCTTCTCGACCTTTGATTGTTTATTCTTTCGCAAATTATGCGAGTTGCCGTTGAATTTCGGTGGTTGAGGGAAATAACAGGGATATCGAGTCCCTCAGGAATAAACTGAATGCCTGATGGAGATGTACGTAATGTTGGCGGGGACTCCATGAAACGCCACATAAAGCGAGTTAATCTTGGCTGTCACTGTAGTCCGCTTAATACGTTTGTACGTAAAGATTCATCGTAACTCTCGGTGCTTGGTCGATAGTTTGTTCGCCGTACTTGGTAATTTAATTGTATTATAATTGCTAAGCCTAGAAAAGAAGCCTACAACCAGACAACACATCCGAGCTACCTATGTTCCTCAACATTGCTAAAAATGAAATCAGATCCTTGCTCTTAAAATACACGGGCATACACATAAAATACCTTCTCGTTCATCTACATCTTTCCATGAGTGTGCGAAAAGCGAGCATGCTGTTGTTGACTTCAGTTTGATCACTTGAAGAGAACACAAACAGCAATATTCAGAGCAAACGGTTCAAATTCCACATAAAGTCTCAGCTACTGTTTAGGCTTGGACAACCTAACAGCGTCGCAGCCCTCGCGCATCCTTTGGGGCGGGGACACGGAAGCTAAACACCGAAATGGCACTATAGCTGGGCCACTATTATTATTTTTATTGTGCTATTTACTGGGACCAACTACAGCTGATCTTCTGTAGGTCGTGATCTATCATTTACCTCCAGAGAAGAGCTACTAATTAACTGGCACTCCTGAGAGGGTCATCAAAACTTCATTGGACCAAGAGAAGAGATAAATTAATGTGCCAAAATCCCAAAAAATATTTTCAATCAAACAGATAGACAACTGATCTAAAGAGAAGTAAAAACTGAACAAAGTTTATTGACCAGGGTGTGCACTTAACACTTTTGGAGCTATTCACAAGAATACAGAGTAAATTAGCGAAATACACCCACTTGCGAACCAATTTGGTTATGAGGGAAACTCACCTGGAACCTGGCTGAGTCTCGTATTTATGATGTTCCTAGGCAACTGAATGTGCTGCTGCTTGAGAACCTCATAAACGAGTGATTCAGCTGGGTTCCAGGTGAGTTTCTCGCAAACCAAATTGATTTGCGAATGATTGCATTTCGCTAACTTCGTGCAACTTGGGTTCAAGTAGAACAAAAGGTTGACGAGAACTCGAAGAATGCGCCTACCGAAGAAGGGCGAAACCTTCCATGGGTTGTCGAAGAGTTTTCAGCAACCTTACACATATACAATTCGAAGTAAAATTTTCTAATCAAACGAAACGCCCTTTGGAAAGCATTTCAAATCCTTGGTCAGAAAACGGAAATAACTTTCATTTCTTGTTCCTAAGAAAAAAGGTGGTATATGCAAGCTTCCACATTTGTTTCCAGTCACTATACGTGCTTACTTTACTTTCATTCTTTGGAGACTGTCGAGTTCTGTAGTCATTTCGGTCAGTGCCGTTTGGTGACGCCGCCGAAGGTTATTCAATGCTTCTTCGTGAGCATCGCGTACGTCATCAAGTTCTTTACGGGCCCGAATGAACTCCGCCTCTCGTCGCCTTATCGTCTCCAGCTGTTGAGCAATATTGAAATATATGCCGGTGGAAATTCAGAATCATTTAAATAACTTCCATATTTGACGCACACAGTAGTGATTGAAACCATTGATACAATAGAAAAGATATACCAGTTTCCACAACTGCATAAGCAAATGATGTAACGGATCTTCCTGCTTGCTCTCAGGGACTAAATGAAAACAGGCCGTGCAACCATTAGACAAAATAGGTACTTATGGATGCTTCTGCTACCTGCAAAGTTAGGTTCATTAAATGAAAGGAGGATGCTGAGGCTTTAGGTTGATACACAAATAAAATGGATCAGACAAAGGGAATTAGATTGCAATAAAATTATATTATGGCGCGCGTAAACAGGAATACGTATATCCATGTGTCGTCCATGTGTCTAAAGTGGGTGGTTGTTGCACTGATTCACATGGACTTATCTTATCATCAGTATATTACTGGCTAGTAGACTACTTATATGCATATTATCATTTATTTTTGAAGAGCATGGTCACAAACATAAAAAGTGAGTGCAAGCGATGAATGCGAAAGAGTAACAGGAGAATATGGGAGAAAAGAGAGAACCGTCTCATTCGAGATCGTGCCAAGGGCAGTGCCAGTCTGATGAGGTGAATCCCAAAGTATGTAAAGATTTTGATATGGGAACATGCGTCTAAAGACCAACAACCAAAGAAAGGACAAACAATGGTGAATTCTCTTCAAAACGCAGTGTGCGCTAGCACAGTCAAGACTCGCACATCAGGCACAAAGTGACCGTCATACTGGGTCTGGTGTGAGATTAAATGGCAAAAGTGTACCTTCAACGCCATGTGCCACGTATAAAAGTGTCATAAGTACGCAGAGAGCCCACAATGACAAGCAAACACAAGTCACTGACTGCGACCTTAGGAAGTCCCAGTCCAATAACAGCCTTAGCGGATTGAGGAAAGCAGATCCCTCGATAAGAGATGATCATCGGTTGGTGAACCAAAAAGTCGATATCACAACCGATGGCATGTAGGGCTGAGATTATGGCGAGGGAATGTTCATCAGCACCATACTTCTGCTTCTTCTCATTCCACACTATCACTCCACGCCCATCCGAGACTATGCTGACGTCTATTACAGTTGCACGGCGATCTCGAACAGCGATTAAGTCAGGTTTGATGAACGACGTAGAAGTAGGGGCTCTCAACTCCTCGAAGACGGTGTACCCCAGTCGACGGAGACGTTTTGCAAGTTCCCTTGCAACCCGATTATGACGAGCACATCTGGCATCATGCGTAATCCAGCAGGATTGCAAACTATGCACCAAACTCTCCGGTTGGTCACAGTTTCCACGACATAAGATCGTCTGGCCACCATGACCATGCCGAGCGCTTCTAACTCTCGTCCTAAGCAGGTTGCATCGGAGCTGGATACCCCGGATAAATATCCGGGAAAGAACTGATTTTTTTAATTGTCTGCCTACATGTCTGGGTACTTCGAATTAGTAGTCTTTGCAACTGTTTACTTAGCGCTGTCCCTTTCTGTTAACTGGGAAAGCGTCAAGAAAATAATGGATTTGTAACATACGCCTCCACCAGTGTGGTATCACTTTTTGCTACGGTTGCAGCAACTGATGAAATGCTCGACCAGTTCCAGTTCAGCTAACTGCCTTATCCAAACTGACATGTAAGTCTTCGCCGATATGTGAGAATTTTTTTTTCGGAACTGTATTTCTAATTTTTTGATTCCTTTACACAGTCCAGAAGTACATTATTAATTCCTCATTGTGTTCGATACGATTTATCCATAAACATCCCTTACTATATTGAGAGGGTGTTATTCCAATATTGATATCCAAATAAGCGTTGCGTAGTACCTGCCCATTTTCAGCTAATATACACATAAAACCTCAATGTGACGTAAACCTACATAGTTGCATTGATTTTGATGATCCTGAGACCAAACTCAAATATGTTTGAATGGATGGCGTGACTGAGAGCAACAAATTCAACGACAAAACTCTGAAACTCAACCACCATACCAGTGTATTTAGATGAAGCCGCATACTAAGGAGAAGAATGGCAGTAGGGAGGGTGCATAAAGCTAGCCTAAGGAGAAATACTGAGCAGACTGTATTTCCAAATATCACTTCATACCATCTGGATAGACAGCGTAAAGGCCACTGACACCGATAGACAAATAACCTCACCACCCAGGTTACGTGAACCGTACCTTGAAATTCGGGGAACATAAATAGAGCATTCAACAAACAGCAATTTGCATAGAGGCTGATTTCCACACTGCTTAAATTTAACATTGCTGAATTTTGGCCCATTTAAAAGGCGGCACTTTCTCATCAACATGTTTGATAGGACGACAGCAGAGAAAAGTGTTGTGGATAAATGGCTGAAAAAATAACAGCCCCTTTTTCAAAAACGTCTCCGTGGGATATTTGATGTCATCCCATTAACCTTGCAAAGCAAGGAACTTTTTAAAAAAATGTGCCTCATTTTTGGTTAAAAAGAAGTGCCATTATGAATGTTGGTTGCATTACAGAGGTACATTTTTGGTACTCTTTCACAGAAGTCGGAATCCATGCCGATGCAATTCGAAATGAAGGACACAGTTATAGGTTCTGCAGCCTAGTCAGTTAGCTTCCAAAAAGTGAAACAAATTCTATGGGTTTAAATGTAGGTGGTATCTGTGGCAGCTTGTGAATTATCACTTTAAGCCGAAATTTGTAATTTTTTAGGCATATTGTAGGACAGACCTTAGTAGAATACCGTAATCTTATCATGTAGGAGCTTTCGCAGATGTGTAGCACTCCACCTCTAATACACACCGCACAACACAAGTCATTTAGTCAACATATTTCTCCCTAGAACAACTTTGGTGATTTCTACATCAAAGCTTTTTGATTTCCCAAGTGCACAAATGTAGCACACCCACATCCAAGTGCCCCAATAGGCTAATTTGGGGTGATAATCAACCGGAAAAGTCCAAAAAACCCCATAGCTTTAGACCAAAATATGGTGACTGATCGATTGCAACAGCTAGTTTTCTACTGGGTGTCACGTGTACTTAACCAAACTTAGATTGAAAGACATGTTCGCTGACGATTTACTAAATAACGACGTATACACTTCCTAGCTGATTTCGATATCTAGACGCGAACCCAATCAGTGTAATTCGAAGTGGAACAAGCGACATCACAAGGCATAACCACTTAGTGATGAGTATGAGGCCGCACCAAAATATCTCGGGTTGAAATTTCTTTTCCATGGGTTACTTCAGTAGGTACACCCGCCCGGATTCATCCTGGGAGGATGTCTATATCCGAAAAACTCACGCCTCTCTGTTTTCAAAGATGGGGTCTTCCTCCGTTGCACATTAGCTACGCGGTAGCACTTGTACATCTTAATTTCAGAATGTTCAACTCCAGCATCCGTGGACCACGTTGTTATGCGACCAGTGGTCAGACAGCTCTGGTACCGCTCTGCCTGAATGCAGTCGATGAGCCTACACTTATGTTCACGTTGGCCCCCAGGGATAATATCTCCAAAAATGACACAGTGAGGAGGAACTTTAATAAAAATCGTGAGCCTGTATAAATAAATCGTGAACTACAAAGATTCACTATTCAAGTGAACTTTCATAGTTTTTTTAGTCGAATGTCTATCAATCCCACAGAAAAATGGGTCATTATCGCTACGACAGATCACGGTGAAAAGTCAGGGTGGTCATTTGTTTTTTGCGGTAATTCGTCGTTTTTTAAAGAGAGATGAGGAGCAAAAATCTGACCAACAATGCTTTTCCTTTCGTGCACTGATGAAGTTTAATGTTCTGAATTCGCGCATGAAAAATAGCCAGACAGGTGGTTCCATTAGGAGTGCATACTTGAATAACATAATAGTTAGTTAAAGCGCGCATCCATTTGTCTCGTCCTGGCGCCACATCAAAACAGTCAAATCTAGTACATTAAAAAAAATCGGCTGCTCCACATCGTCGATTGAAAACACTGGTGGAAGCATGAGGGACTATCCGACTGACTGACGTTTCTTGATACGCTTTCCTCAGACCAATGAAATATACTACAATGACTCCGCTCATTTAGTTTCTTCAAGCGTAGCAATTATTGCGCTGTCTAAGCCAACAGTGTAGCATTACATTCAACCTCACGGACCAGTTGTTGTCTGATGAAAAAGTTTTAAACCGCATATTTATCACAGACACCTGTCATATCGGTACAACAGTGAAGAATCTGAATTGTTGTCATGCTCTGTCCAGCTGCGTTGATTAGTATGGAAATCGAATATTCGTTTCATGATAAGAGTTCTCAGCCATAAAATCTAGCCACTTTTATTGTTTTGAACCAATTATTTCTCCCCTGAGAACACAATAAAATACTGACGTTCGTCCCGGAACCTGGTTCTCATAGTCTTACGCTGGATCCTTCGACTGTTCAATTGGAAAACATAAGCTTAGGTGCCTGTGTGTTAGCCATAGTAAGACTGATTATTGTGGAAAACTTTTGCGCCAATTGATTCATCTCGAGGGACTGAACTAAAAATCAGGGCCGAGTGGGTGAGCGAAAATCCAACAAGATTATTTCCACTCGAGTACATTCAGCGAACCATTTCATGAAAATATATGCAAATTAGGATATAAGGAACGTACAGCGAACCAAAAAGCTGTATAACTTCTGATAAAGTAAAAACGGTGGGTTGATAGGTTAGCAAAACCTTCAGCCGAACAGGAGAGAAGTGGTCATTATAGACAACACGGAGAACGAAACCCGTTGTTGACCTACATGTTGTCCAACTTGCTCAGAAACATTTTGATAATTGGCTGTAAGCACGTCATACTCTGCGTTCAGTTCGCCAAGTTCGCGTTCCGTCTGTGTAATATAAACAAAACGACAAAAGACTCATTCGTCGGAAGGAGTGAACAATTCTGTCGTTACTGAATGTATTCGGTGAAATGCACCCGTGTAAACTACAAAATTGCTTAAAGAGGACAAAATAAGAAATTTCCAACTTATCGGAAAGATATGTTTCGATTATTTATATACTGAGTTAGTTCTTATTTGTGGCAGTGTCTTGATGTCTTTGACAACGGAACTGAAACTTGGCACTCTAGATTATTGATTATATAGTCAGAGGTGAGTGAAGCTATGAGGCTGTTGGTGAAGTCTACCTGTACACAAAGTACGCAATCGTATCTGGAAGTTGGGATAGTAATGACCTCTGCAGACGCATGGCCTAGTTGTATGTGCATTTGTGCTCTTTAAGTGGATCATTCAGAAGTAGTCTCTCCTGAGAGGTTGGATTGCAACGAAAACCCTTGGAAAGCGTTGAAAAGAAATTATTTTTTCAAAAGCAGAATTGAATACTTTGCTCTAGGATACACCTGTCACTTTGAACAAGTCACAATTCATAGAATACTTTACGTACATGATAATTAAACTGTTAACTGAAATCTTCATCAAAAGGTTTGCTATGAAATAGGAACAAATGGATCAGGAGTAACTTAAGTTAAATAAATGTAGAGAATGGAACATGGAGGTCAGACGTAGGTGCAAATGGCAGTTTGGTCCAAAAGATTTCTGAAATTTCTAATAGAGAAATACATGAATAACAAGATGGAAAACAACTTTAATTCGATCAGCGCTAAGGCTCATGAGATTAGGATAAATTTTGATACTATCAGGAGGGGTGGCATACTAAGTGCAGCCAACGGTCCGGCTTGATACTGATGGATTGCATTACCTCGAATATAGGTGGATGCGGGTAAACTGGTGTACGCAGTAACACAACAAAACGTGTAGTTTTGTAGAGGAGAATGTTGGTAGCTCTACCATGTAGTTTTATTTTACTCAGGACAGCAGTAAACTTGCACCGGGTTCGTACGCAGGGAAGACGCTAATTAAACTGGGAAAAATATCAACCTCAAAACTTCTGTTTGGTTTTTCAGGGCAACCTGTGTCAAATTAAGACACCCTTGGCTAATTAAGTCTGGATAGTGTGGTGAAATGTGTGAATAGAAGGTTGGAACAGCGTGCAGCTTACAGCTAAGTTGCTTTTTGTTATACGTAGCCATGATCGTCTGGCAACGCTACATATAGTTGAAGTTAAAATTCATTTGCCTCTCATAAAAGGATTCGAACTCAGCTGATTTCCATGACACTTCAAACTCTGTTTACAATGATCCAAGGTTCAGATGGAACCTAGTTCAGTCTGCTTCATTTTGGCACCATCAGTTTTATGCTACAACTTAATAATTTAAAACTTGACAAACTGGTGTCTTTGGTCAGATTAAAGTAGGAAATAATCTTCATCAGATAAATTACTGAACAGATAAGGAGGATGTGGTATGCACACTATCTCAACGATAGTTTAGAATGATAAAGGAAGTTGTGTACTACACTTCAAAACCACTCTTGAATACTTGTTAGTAAACATATCAAAGGATATCATATAGAACAAATAGAAGAAGGCAACGTTGTTGAGTTAGACATAAATGGGCAACCAAGTGTCGTTCCATGGGGAGGGGATTCTAAGTGACCGGTTCAAGCTAATCCCTTGGGAGTGGCGGTCATTGTCTGGAATGGTCTCTAGACGATTATAACCGCTGTTGAAAACCCCGTTTTAACTCACAGTCTTCTCATCAGTTCCAAGCAAGAGACAGATTGCCGAATTTCGACATCACTTTCTGACTAATGTCTTTCGATTATTCGTTTCACGTTCCACAAGTCCGTCTGAATGACTAGGTCGCGGTTTCAAACAACTCAGTCAGACAACCGTCACATTCCATTTGGTTGAGAAGAACTATTGCATATTTATATATTGCCCATTATCCACCGCATGTCTCAACCGAGGCCTCACTATGTGCACTCCGACTGAGATGAGAGTGGTATTTCGGCTACATAATTCTGCACCCTTGAATGGGAATAGGCTGAGTTTTTGGACACATAGTATATAGCACACCTCCCATATGTCCGGTGACCTAGTGCTCAGATATAGTTCACCAGACCACACGAAATCATACGTGAAGATTCGCGGTCTCCACCATGGCAGTTTGCCCGGTCAGGTAAGAGAGTAACAAATATTAATAACCATCTGTAAACACGATCTGCGTTTCCAAACAATCAACGGCTGTAGTATTTTGAAGACCAGTTCACGCGAGTCACAACTTCTATACTTCATTTCAACCAAAGTGTCGTATATCTATTCCACATTGTGTTACCCTTCATTGGCATGAGAAAAACCTGATAAGTACAAAATTTTAAACTTAAACATCTCCGCCCCCAGACAAAGTTAAAACTAACGGAAAAATCAACATTCGTTATCCTTACTTGTTGACTAATAATAAATTCCCGTTTCCCAGGCTAGCCATCTTTGCATTTTTAAGTTTAAAAATTGGTAACTATTTGGCTAGTTTGTCCAGAAGAGGCTTAAATTAATCATACTAAGGGAAATATTCATTGACTCTCCAAGCTTCAGCATCCGCTGAATACATCTTCCAATCATTTTTCCGGCTCAGCGCTGATACCTCGTCAGATTTCGTGAACTCACGTTTCGGTTTCAAGTGTCGCGACATCGGCAAGGAAGGCAGTGAATGTTGCATACCAATAGTCGGTAAGGTCACGAACACAGTATTTACGATGTCGTTTAGAGTTCTTCATTGAGTGATCATTTGCACACAGTGATAACACTGGGCCAGTATCCACCCATTACTTTACAGTAACCGGTCGTGCGCTGTCGAAGAATTTTCAGCAACCTTATGAGTAGTGCATTACGTTTATACATGTGTCGCGATGCCTCGGTGCGGCCTGGTGCAGCACATTCTGTTGCATGGAAACATCACAAACGAGAGATGCAGCTGGGTCCCAGGTGAGTCTCTCACAAAGCCGAATTTGATTCCATATGAGTGTATCTCGCTAGTTTATATAAAATTGTTTTGCACCAGTTTTCAAGAGCTTTGTTGACCTTTCTAGTTAATAAAAGGACGGGGAAAGTGTGCAGGTGTTCAGTTTAAATTAGCGCACACTCCATGACAGACATCTGGTCTGATTTTTTGTACCTTGGTTACCATAATATTGAATATTGCTTTTGCAGAAAATGCGATTAGGACCAAATTAAACTGCCTGCTGTTAAAGGATACCAATAAAAATTCATGCACTTTTTGGCTGACATCCTACACGGATCTGCTAGTCAAAAGTGACTTAACAACGGGATATTTGTTGGATAACAACAGGTTTGCACAAATGTTACTATTATGCATTGTGTAGGCTAGTAAACACTCGGTTTGTTGTTGAACGCCCTACCAGTACGTATGTGATTATCTGTGTATGTGCATGGGTACTAAAATGCCTTGATACGAAATATTCATGTACCTGTTACACTTGCTTGCATGTTGAGAGTTACATTAGTCTTTCACGTGACCAGCTCGAATTGTTGGAGTTTTTGTATATTATGACACATAAAGGTGGTGGTAATGTGACACTCAAGTTTGGGTTGAATTGCCTTTAGGTGGGATAAATTGCTCATTATTTGAAAGGTGTACCTAGTGTGTGCGAACAGTCATCCCTGCTGTGTAAGCCGAAAGTCGTTCCGAGTGAGTCAAGAGTTGAGCAAGTTCAGATAGGATAACGAGCGTGTCTGGCCTCCGGTTACCAGATGCATCCGGCTAGAACTGATGCACATTGACTGACATTCCTGCACCAGTTCCAAACAAAATGTGGGACAGACCGGTGGCGTTCACTTGTAGTAATGGCAGCCAATATTCCAAGCTGAACGCTGGCTTAGTGGCCTGTCGGTTAAATCACCGCCGATGAAGTACTACCATCAAAGTATTGGTTCAGCCGACCTAGTTAGGTTGTTTATATCTCTTCTCAGCTAAAAGTCGTTCGGGTCATCATCGAGAAACTGGGACTGATGGAGCTTGGATAATACTTCCTACCGCCTAACATGGGTAACAGCGGTCTAGAATTTTGTCAGAAAACACAACCTTCTATGGGAGAAATTAGCTGTAAAGTGACTAATTAATTAATTAAATAAGTAATTAATTCGGCAAACTAGTAAGTGAATAAGTAGGTAAGTAGATGGGTGGCCGGTGAGCTGAACCACATCTTCGTGGTGCCAACTGGGTAACCCAGTCAGTCTGGGTGAACTAAGATTTCAGCAACTACAGACAGGGCCAACCACTCTGGTTTGAATGTGCTGGTAACTTTCGACAACGTACACTGCGAATTATTTAGCACCTCCGCACCAATTCCAACCAGTAAACAGGAGAGACTCGTGAGGCTCATGCGTGAGGGATGTTGCAAGTCTGCTAATCCAAAGCTGGCTTAATAGCCCACCGTGGAGTTCATGTTCATGAAAGTGTTAGCCCAAAGAATGTTACGCAAATGGCTGTGCTGATTGTTCCCTCCTTTTTCCTAAGAAGATTGGCCTGAGACAACACCGTCGGCACACATCTTAGCCAACAAAATGCAGATAAGCTTAGCTGAGTGAAAAATTCCGGTGTCCGCTAATCCGAACAAGAATCACAATCACTCTTGCGTGTGGCTAACAATTCATACCACGTAAACCGCGTTGGAGGAGTATTTTCCTAGTCTATCGGCTGTCGGCATCAAAACCAGGTTGCAGATAATTAACTGGCAATCACAGCAGGTCGAATCATTATCTGGTGGCCATGACCAAACCATCGGTTAAAAAACGGACTGCCCGTCAGAAAATGATGCTATAGCACCTGATTTAAATAAACCGTGGATTGTGCTGTATGACTGTTGGAAACCCATGCTGACAGTTCAGCTGCTAGTATTGACCTGTCATTTGCCCGTGGCTGCAGTCGGGCACCACGAAACCGGAGCGAGACCTGTCGCTTCTGAGCCTCTACGCCTCGAAGACATTTTCACACTAGTTGAATCTCGTCTACCGTCCTCATCGCCAGCCATCCCATCGGATGCTGGCCAACCGAAAACAGATCTGCTGATCCGACTACACCACCATCCAAACCCTATTCTACCAAAGACGGAAGGATGTTGTGCTTGATGGGCAGTGGATGGATCTATACAAAGCTAACTGTGGCTCACATCTGGACGCCAAGCAGTATTGGGAACAGATGCTCTCTGATCTAAAACGCGTGGATTGCCGGCCAAGTCGCGCAGTGGTACCGTCCGAATGGGTTTTAATCGAGCCAACTGCAGGTGAGGAAGTCGGCCGTACCATTCATTCATTGGGCAATTCGTCCCCAGTTCAGGATAAGCTCAAGACCAGGATGCCTCGCTGGTTCAATGCCAACGCTATCGCTGGATGTCTAAACTTACTCTTACTACCTGGATGTTGTCCGCCGCATCTGTGTCGTGCTCGTACTACTCTGGTTCAGAAGGCCCCAAGTGTTATTTCACCGGACCAACTGAGACCGATCTCTATGTTGTCCATTTTTGTCCGATGTTTTCATAAAGTGCTTGATGTTCACTGGAGCCGTGGATTTCAACCAGCCCCACTCCAGTTTACATTTCCACACCAAGGCGGTTGTTTGGAAGCTGTTACACACCTTGCTTCGTCACTTCTTGTTGACTGCTTCTAAACTCAGTTTGGCATTTGTTGATATCTCGAAAGCGCTTGATTCGGTTCCGCATCACACAATGGTAAGATTTGCTGAGGCTTTTGGAGCACCATCATCTCTATTTGGGTACATCGCACAGTTCCATAAGAATGCTGTAGCAGTTTTGCCTAGTTCCGAGGTTCACTGTTACAGAGGTGTGAGGCAGGGATCCGCTCTCTAGAATATTATTCATCATGGCATTGGATAAGGTCCTTGGACTGCCAAGGCCGCAACTAGGATACCAGTTTCATGATGCCTTAGGGAATCGGTTTGCCTTCGCTGACGACGGGTTGTGTGTGCAAAATTCAGGTTCACCGTAAAGAGAAGGTGAAGCTGCTACAGTCAAGTCTTGAAGAGCTGGTATGGCGATCGTCGCCCAAAAGACGAAGGCAGTGGTGATTTGTGAGGATAGAAAACAGCGGATGACCGTGGTCTCCATCGAGCCTTTTTGATTCGCCAAGAAACTCACCAATCCTGTAGGTCCGACAGACACCGTGATACATTTCGTCATCATATTCATTTTCAAGGGGAAAGAATTCTGCAAGTAATAGCTACTGAAGCTGTTTTCTGGGATAGTGTGTGTGCGCCACTGAAGCCGCATCAGAGGATGGATATCAAAAGAAACTACCTGATACAAAGGGTGGTATACTTGCTCGTGCTCCGTAATGACCACCGACACACGCTCAAAAGGTTGGACACTTACTTCAGGCAATCTTTGCGTGAATGGCTACGTCTACTGAAGGGCAACGCGATCAGCTAAATCCAAGCCGGTAAACGGTGCACAGTACTGCGCAATGTGATCAATGGTTCCACGTTTGGTAAGGTTTTTCGAGAACTGTACCCTCCGCCTCGAGTCCAAGGTACATGCCTAAACACCAAGGAAGAGCTCGTGGCTGTTCGGGGTGATAGTCCGCACAACAGCGTTGAGGGTCGCGGTTTATGAGAGTTGGTCGCTTCGTCTCCGTCGAATCGATGGCTTGTGTTTCCAGAACGAATGTTTCCTCGAATATTTATCCACGGTATCCAGCTTTGGTGCAGCCTGCTTAGTACGAGAGTTAGGAGTGCCCAGTGGGGTCATGGTGGCCAGACGATCTTGTGTCGTGGAAACTGTCCAACCGGAGTGTCTGCGTGTATATTTTGCATTCCTGCTGAATCAAATATGATACACTCGTCGTGGTCGAGTTTCAAGGGGACTATCGACACGTCTCAGTCGCCTGGGATACACTGCCTTTGATTAGTTGAGGGTACCTACTCAACGTCTTTTGTCAAGCCTGACCTAATCGCTGTTCGGGAGCGCTGGGCAACTGTGATAGACGGAAGCATAGTGTCGGATGGGCGTGGAGTGACTGAGCGGAATGAGAAGAAGCAGAAGTATTGTTCTGGTTATGTTTCCTCGCCGTCATTTCAGCCCTAGGTGCAATCAATTTTGATGTCGACGTCTAGTTCATCATGCGATGGTCACTTCTCATCGAGAGATCTGCTTTCTTCAATCCCTCAAGTTTGTTATTCAGCTGGGACTGAAGGTCACAGCCAGTGACTTGTGTCTGCTCGTCAACAGTCTGCTCGACAAACAGTCTTTTGGCCCTCTAGGTTGGGGCTTAGAACAATTATGCCAGTTTGTGACCTAAAAGTTGAGCAATTCAAGTTGTCTGAAGCCAACCACCGTTTCCTTGCAATCAGGCTTTTGAGTCAAAGGCCTTGTCTGAAGAACCTAATCGTTCTCCTGTCTGGATTCGGTGCATTAGGCCTCGAGAAATCATTCACTTTAGAGCTAAAATTATCATGATGCCACAAAACCGTCTCGTGGTGATCCTAGCCCTGTCGCCTAGTTCGCAGCATACGGCTTCCTGTTTCTTCACTATTGCGATTGATCACAGCTCTGTTCGAAGTGGAACTGCGGCCTCACCGTCATCATCGAGGAGTATCGCCCATGAATGCTGTTAGCTTCCGAATTCGAAGATAACCGGCATCTCATGGTGTCATCGGTTTGAATTTTTCTCGAGTCAAGCATCAGAAGGGAAATTTACTGTATTTTTCTCTAAATAAGTCATATGCTGCTAGGTCTGGACAATCTCATACCTAGAAGACTTTGCCAGATCATCTTTATGGAGGGAATGTCTAGCAATATATGTTGGGTTAGCGTCTGATTTCATTCGGTCAGCTGGAGACTATTATTTCGTTACCACATCTGGTTAAATTCTTTCGTAAGGTGCCTGCATATCAAAGGATAGATAATGCTATTTGGTTTTAGGCAACAAACATGAGATCAGTTCCATAAAACCGCGAAGGATTGATTTTCAGTCGCGCTGTCAATTGCTTCGCGTGTGAAGAGTCGAGCTGGCGTTGAATGAAAGTTTGAAGGTACTCAGTACAGCCAGTATGGTGACCAATACCCTAACACGAAAGCTGTTGTCATTCAGGAAAACAGAAAACATAGGATGGCTGGGGTATCCATTGTAACACTCAGCGACGCTGCTTGTTAGGGGCCTGTACTCGAAACCCTTCGCCTTCTGATCCTGAACGAAAGTATACAGGTTGAGGCCAAAGAAAGGGTGATTATCTTTTGTTTACGGAACTTTGTCGATCTCTCTTTCAACTCAAGGACTCTTGTTTCCATAAAATGTGTCTGCTCAATTGTGTAGTTGCTGTATCAATTTTCAGTTCATCCTGTTGAGAGCGAATATAGTGAACATTCAGAGCACTCATAATGTAACGATGGGTACTATTAATGAGGCATACGAGTATTATGTGGTTTCCCGTAAATCCACATCCATCCATCTTGATATCCATCAGCAAACCTGACCTGATCGTTGTTGTGGGTCACCAAGCAACATTAATACATATCAGACCAAATCCTAACAATTACGTGAGCTGAGAAAAAGCATGAATGTGGTAGTGTTCATTATCTCAGATTCGAATGGCGCCGGCGTTAAGTTTGATGTTTTGCCCCACGAACCACTCACAGTTTCATAATGCTATAAGTGCCTTCGCCGGAAAAGATAGTGGACTAAAGTTTTCCAAAATCACAGTAGGTGATGTGTACCGCTCCACCATTTCTGACTCGGACGTGAACATGAAACCTTTATGTGAATTACCTGTATCTTTTTCATGTGGTCCTGTATGACACTGAGCTGGTCGTGAAAAGATTTGGCTGCGCAAGAACTGTCTGTGCACTGCACTGGTTCTCTATTCGTGAACCCAATTTTTTCCTTCATAACAGAATTGAGTCAACTAATGCTGGTATGCCGGTTCTTGGATTTCTCCCTCTTACGTTCTCCTTTACTTATGCTTATGCATACTTTGGCACCCTTCAGAACTTGATACCTCGAGCGAATCTATCCTTAGAATTGATAAAACCATTACATTTAGATACTTTCGAGCACATAAGATATTTCACATGTCCGAGAGTGAACCCAACAGGACGGCCAGAAGAGTTCTTGAAGCAGATGACTTCAGCGACGAAGTGTTTCAAAATATTTCTAAACAATACCACCTGCAAGATTTTGAGATTTGTGGACTTAATCTGACTTCTCTTGACTACCTGCGCAAAAGATTTGACGAAATCCATAAGCCTTCTCTGTAAATGAACAGGTTGTCTGCAGGAATAGAGCTTCAATTGTGCCTTCAGCAATGCTTTCACCCTACTGTGGACAAACCGCATATTTCCCGTCTGAGATAGAATAAATACACACCAGTTTACTGGAGTTTGTCTGATATCTTTTCTAGGGAGACGGATGAACGGTTCGTCACAGGTTTATTGACTCAAGTGCCAATGGACAATGACTGATGAACGAACCCGTACATTGACTGTTCGGAGTGGGTGCCTGATCTTGTCTGAGTGAGATCATTCATGATCGAGTTACCAAAGAACGCCATGAGTATATCGTTTCTAAAGTGATTCGGTTCATTTCTCCAAACTGATATTCTTTGTGTTTTAAGAATCACAAAATGGTATATTTATACGGATAAAAAACATTAATCAAACTCCAAATGCGTACAGAATAGATAACTCTGAAGTGTACGGTTTTATATTTTATCTGAGACGACTTGAAGTAGTCAGTCCGATATCTATAGGGCGCATGTAACCAGGGGGTTTACACCAGTTCCGTAAAACAATTATTTGCCAATTAATCCATATGCATATCCTTTTTGGAAAGGAAAATGTCATGTACAATTTAACTCACTTTGATTCGTAAACCTCGTTCTTCATCCAGCAATTCTTCAAGCTCCTTGATTCGATTCTGAAACACAAGAAAGTGGGACAGAATAGATGGCTGATCAAAAATTGGCCAGAATTCCTTACGCACGCAAGAGGTAAGTGAAATGGCTGAAATGATTGAGGGATTGGATTTAGGTGTCCTTTTCGCAAAACCCTATCCGGAAAATAATTTGCATCCATGTCACCGTTCATGGACCGCAACACGGATCGATGGACGGATAATGTGACTTGTCGCCTTTTGCATGATTCAAGCCAAACTGAAGGGTTCCTACATTTGAGTGATCACAATATTGTGTGCATAGGAAAATGTCATGCGGGCAATATAGAAAAAATAGGCCATTCGAGCAGAAAATTTGCTGTGCAGATGAAATGCTTCCAGTAGACTACGGTAGTTCTAATGGCTTGTCAGAAGCACACTTACGCGAGACGTACAACTTTATTTAGTTTGATTTTATATCATGTTGCTTCCTTGCATGATCAGCTTGTATCCCTATTGTTGACACTGACGGAGCCAGCTGGCCCATTGGGTTACTTTTCGCACTGGATTTATGTTCTCTAGGAGATAGGTGCTTTTCTACGGTTTTGTTCGATAGTTGGGAACTAATAGTAAGATACTGGTAAACAGGCTGTCTCCGAATCTACTGGAACTTGCAAAGACATCTCATCAAACACTACTAACCGAAATCCATTTTGCGTGTTTTTTAATTTGTCAGCCATCGTCTAGCTTCAGCATTACCTAAATATATGTAGAGGTTCGGTGTTTCTTTTCACGTTTCACGACACATAACTGCTGTCAACTCTGTAAGTGTCGTGGTTACAAGCAAATAAGTCATGTACTGTTCGAAGACCCAGGTTTATTGCACAAACTGGAAAGTTTCTAAACTTGGGGGGACATAAATTTACGGTGAAAAGTACAGAAGATCAACTTTTGCAGAAAACACGAATTTCGGATTTTTCTGAATAAACTGATTAAACTGCCACACATATATTCTGTACTGCAATTAAGACAAGACAAAATCGATAAATCGTTTGATGAAACCAAGCCAAACTATGCTAAATTCGCCGATAAATGACGGCCATTTTCTATTCAAGGGGATATCCAAGATCGTCAGTGCTATGATGTCGGTTTCGGCAGCGAAAAATGTCCAACTTTCATGATCAGATTATCACCCTATTTTTGCGGTATCCCACTTTCTGTAGTCCGCTTACTCGATGTTATTTTATGTAGCATGCTGGTGCTGCCTAGCTCCAAGATACCCTATCTAAACCAGAAAGAGTGTGACAAAATCTGATTCACTTTTCTCTTAATACATGATATTCGCTCGATGGACTCCACTTGGCGTGTAAGTTTACAAGTACNGATTGATTCACTTTTCTCTTAATACATGATATTCGCTCGATGGACTCCACTTGGCGTGTAAGTTTACAAGTACCATTGGGTGCCACGAAGGCGTGTCCGCTCTTCTTTACTATGCCCAAGGTCAATGAAAATTCTGGATAGTCTGCTACCGATTTGACCTTTCTTGTTGCCGTGATAAATACTTATGTGCAAATCGAGCTCATGGTGAAAACTGACTCAACCAAATTCAATCTGATACTTTGGAGTTTTGTAATGAGCTAGATGGAAATGAGTGGAATAAGCCTGCCATATGAGCATCACGAAAGGCGAAAGTGATGGTGGACGGTCCCGATTTTTTTTAAATATTTATTTGAGCCTCCTACAGTCTGTTTTCCCCTTGTTACCATCAACTGTGGTGGAATGTGAGAGGATGTAAGAGGACCAACTAAAAGTGAATAGGAAACCTAGAGCTTGGATATTGGTCACAAACGCAATGCATGTGGAGTTTATATATATATATATATATATATATATATATATGAAAGTCCATTCAGCCGAGTAAACTATGCATATTTATTGAATTGACAGCCCCTGAGTTGGAAATCAAAAATGTATTGTTCGGTATTGCATTTCAGCCAAGATAAAGGAAAACACTTTGGAATCAAGTGAGAATATAAAAGCGAAATGCAAAATTTTTTTGCGTTAGAATAAAGTGAAAGAACTCTGCAGAGCTCCACCTAAAAAAGTTACGCCCAATGCAAAGCGTTACAAATCAAAGAATGCAACAACTCCACTCAGGAATGAAAAGGGTTTAATTAGCCTCCTACCGGTCAATGATACTCAATTTCATTATTGTTACAAAAAAAGGAGTGCCCAAGGACATGAGAAGGAAACCATCAGAAAACATTTCTGATACACAATGGGCTAATCTGCAATCAGTTTCCAGAAAATGGGTTCTTTAATTGACGAGATGGGATACTTGGTAGCCCCATAAAATGAGTGCACTCCATGTCTTATTTGCCACAACTGTGTCTTAGGGATTGCCGGTTGATATTTCCCTGTGCGGTAAGTGGGCTTCCCCAGTGCCTCTCTCAACGGGCCAAACATTGATTTCGTTTAACGCCCAAAGTTGTCTGTTTAACTTGCTAGGAAAAAGAAAAGGTATGAAGAACCCTTAAATGAGAGGCCCAAATGCACGTAGCATGAGAGAAATTAAACACCAATGAGCGTACTCGAAACGGTAAGGGGAAGGCCGCGGTCCGAGTTTATTGCCAGTTGAGCCTTATCGTTCTTATTTCTATCACACTTTAGTTAGTTTGGCAGAGATAGTCATGAACTCCATCGGATTCCATAATGTGTAATGGTCAGTGCTCTGTGTGAGTACCTGAAGAGCCACATCGTCATCACTATCGACCGCATAGAGTAAATGTTCAGCACAGATGCTTTGCTGATGGAGATCTGCACCAACGAAAATTCATTATGAAGAAACTATGTTCACTTTTTTCATTGCTCACAAACTTCGCTAGTATTTTAAGTATAGCTACCTGTCTTTGTTGGGTCTTCATCAGTGCAAATATGTAGGTAGACATTTTTTAAACTATCTGCCTTAAAGAGGTTTGGCAAACATTTTCTAATTGATTGAAAATATCTATCTGCCTTTTATTTGGCATATGATGGTAAGAATTACTGATCCTCATATAAACACAGTGTTTCAGTTTCCCGTAGTTGTTAGTTATCCGAGCATAACAAAAACAACTTATCTAAACGGGGTTATCGTGCTTTCAGCATGTTTATTCATAGTTTGCATGTTAACCTGGATGGTAAAAAACGGAAATGAACAAAGCCCATCCGTTTGTATCATGTTTTCTTGTCATGCTTGTTCTGACATCGACCGAAGATGTCCAAACACAGAACAGCTCTTTTTCTCTGCCCCGGAATTCGCCACCTCAAGGACAAACCTATGAAAACGGCTTATTAGGCGCACAAACAACGCTTAATTATCCAAACGACAAATGGTCGTGTTTCAGAGGAACCCAAAGACCTTGGTTCGCGAAGTGTCTGTGTGTTTGTATCTGCGGCCTTCGTGTTGTTCACATTGTTCAACAAGCACGACAAAGAAATATACACACCAGCTGCCTATCCACACACGTGGTACATATGTGAATAAAAAAGCCGAGTCGAGTAAACTATGCATATTTATTGAATTGACAGCCCCTGAGTTGGAAATCAAAAATGTATTGTTCGGTATTGCATTTCAGCCAAGATAAAGGAAAACACTTTGGAATCAAGTGAGAATATAAAAGCGAAATGCAAAATTTTTTTGCGTTAGAATAAAGTGAAAGAACTCTGCAGAGCTCCACCTAAAAAAGTTACGCCCAATGCAAAGCGTTACAAATCAAAGAATGCAACAACTCCACTCAGGAATGAAAAGGGTTTAATTAGCCTCCTACCGGTCAATGATACTCAATTTCATTATTGTTACAAAAAAAGGAGTGCCCAAGGACATGAGAAGGAAACCATCAGAAAACATTTCTGATACACAATGGGCTAATCTGCAATCAGTTTCCAGAAAATGGGTTCTTTAATTGACGAGATGGGATACTTGGTAGCCCCATAAAATGAGTGCACTCCATGTCTTATTTGCCACAACTGTGTCTTAGGGATTGCCGGTTGATATTTCCCTGTGCGGTAAGTGGGCTTCCCCAGTGCCTCTCTCAACGGGCCAAACATTGATTTCGTTTAACGCCCAAAGTTGTCTGTTTAACTTGCTAGGAAAAAGAAAAGGTATGAAGAACCCTTAAATGAGAGGCCCAAATGCACGTAGCATGAGAGAAATTAAACACCAATGAGCGTACTCGAAACGGTAAGGGGAAGGCCGCGGTCCGAGTTTATTGCCAGTTGAGCCTTATCGTTCTTATTTCTATCACACTTTAGTTAGTTTGGCAGAGATAGTCATGAACTCCATCGGATTCCATAATGTGTAATGGTCAGTGCTCTGTGTGAGTACCTGAAGAGCCACATCGTCATCACTATCGACCGCATAGAGTAAATGTTCAGCACAGATGCTTTGCTGATGGAGATCTGCACCAACGAAAATTCATTATGAAGAAACTATGTTCACTTTTTTCATTGCTCACAAACTTCGCTAGTATTTTAAGTATAGCTACCTGTCTTTGTTGGGTCTTCATCAGTGCAAATATGTAGGTAGACATTTTTTAAACTATCTGCCTTAAAGAGGTTTGGCAAACATTTTCTAATTGATTGAAAATATCTATCTGCCTTTTATTTGGCATATGATGGTAAGAATTACTGATCCTCATATAAACACAGTGTTTCAGTTTCCCGTAGTTGTTAGTTATCCGAGCATAACAAAAACAACTTATCTAAACGGGGTTATCGTGCTTTCAGCATGTTTATTCATAGTTTGCATGTTAACCTGGATGGTAAAAAACGGAAATGAACAAAGCCCATCCGTTTGTATCATGTTTTCTTGTCATGCTTGTTCTGACATCGACCGAAGATGTCCAAACACAGAACAGCTCTTTTTCTCTGCCCCGGAATTCGCCACCTCAAGGACAAACCTATGAAAACGGCTTATTAGGCGCACAAACAACGCTTAATTATCCAAACGACAAATGGTCGTGTTTCAGAGGAACCCAAAGACCTTGGTTCGCGAAGTGTCT